GACTTGGTTTTCCAAAAACAAATTCTTTTTACGTAGAGACGGATCAAACACACAACCCTAAGCCCAAATTATGTGGACTCCTGGAGGCAAGATTGCAGCCGATTTGTTCTTCCTCTGTGTCTGCTGCATTGCTGTGAGCTAAGCCATGGTTTGGCTGAGCAGGCTTGCGGTTTCTTCTGCTCCAGACAATAACCGAGGCTTATAACCAAGGTTTTTTCCTTCGGCTTATAGCTTGTGGTTTGTCTGGAGCAGACAAACCATAAGCCCAGATTCAGAGAAGCCAAACCATTGTTTATAAGCCAAACCATTGTATATAAGCCAAACCATTGTTTAGCTCGCAGCAGCAGCATTACTGGAGGAAGAGCAAAATGGCTGCTGTCTCCTCTCTAGGAACTCGCATGCTCACATATTAGCAGCAACCCATGGGTTTGGCTTTGCACTATGCATGAACCAACTCGTGTTTTCAAAACCTGGATGCTTTCAGTGCTTTTTTACTTTCTTCCTATCTGCTTAGTTTCAAAAGCTATTTAAACTTCCAGTAATATAACTAGATGCCGAAGAAGAAACAGGAGGGTAACCAGTGAGAAAGGCATTATCCCAGTTTGTAAAGAAGGACGTACTTGCAGTTTAACCAGTTCCCCATACTAATGGAAATGGCTAACGTCAGGCAAGAGTAACATGGCTTGTCGCAGATTCAATAAATACTATTAGAACTTCAGTGATATATCAAGGAAGTCAGCAGTTTTCAAAGTGTTGTGGGGGACCCAGGGCTTCCTCTGACTAAGGATCTGCTTTCTCAGACAGTTTGCCCACCACTGTGGATCTTCTCCTGAAATGTGTGGTTGCAGGGGAGCATATGCACACATGATTTTATTTGTATGCTGCTTTCCCACAGTTCAAACCATGCTCAAGGCGGCTTACAACATGGGGGAAACAATACCTAACTGCAACATAATAAAAGTTGTTGTGGTGGTTTAGTCGTTTAGTCATGTCCGACTCTTCATGACCCCATGGACCAGAGCACGCCAGGCACTCCTGTTTTCCACTGCCTCCCACAGTTTGGTCAAACTCATGCTGATAGCTTCGAGAACACTGTCCAACCATCTCGTCCTCTGTCCTCCCCTTCTCCATGTGCCCTCAATCTTTCCCAACATCAGGGTCTTTTCCAGGGAGTCTTCTCTTCTCATGATGTGGCCAAAGTACTGGAGCCTCAGCTTCAGGATCTGTCCTTCCAGTGAGCACTCAGGGCTGAGTTCCTTCAGACTGGATCGGTTTGATCTTCTTGCAGTCCATGGGACTCTCAAGAATCTCCTCCAGCACCGTAATTCAAAAATAATAAAAGTAGTCATATGCAATTGATAAAACATCAAAAAATACACAACCAAGCTGAACAATTCCCATATGAATCACAAAACCTAAAATATAGATACGAAAACCAAACAGCTACCACTCACCCAACAACAACACCCTCCCACCACCACAAACAACACCCCAGTGTGATTTGCAGTTGTTCCTCTGTAGGCCTTTTGGTGCTCAAGTGCAGACATTTTGAAAAACAAAACTGCATTGACGAATGTGTGTTTTTTGAACATTGGTTGCAGGTCTGGCTTAATCCTCATTCTTCTGAAGTATGGGATCACGCTTTCCGAAGCAGATTTAGGCCTCTGTCTGCATGATGGAAGGTTCTCCTTATTTCAGCATTTCTTGAAGCGAGGCTGTAAGCTTCCACGCAGAGAGCACCGGACGGAATTTACGAAGAATGCAATTCTTGCAGGAGACAAGCACAAAGAATGGTTGCCGTCCCTCCTGTTGGCTGGGTTCAATCCGGTGCATCTCCTCAATGAATCATGGTAAGCAAGATTACATAAGATACACACACACTATATATATATATATATATATATATATATATATATATATGACATGCGCCTTCACCGAACGATTTCAGTGCATGTGAAAAATGTATTTATTCAGGCAAGCCTTTGGGGGAAGGGGTTAACATTTCCTTTTATTCATATTTTTTAGGTCTTTCACATTTGTGAATTTTCTCTGTGTTGTTTTATACCTTGTTCTGTTTTTAATCAAAGTTTTTTAGTGGTCTCTGCATTATCGGAAATAAAATACAGTGTGCACGTGTGAGCAGCATACACACATGCATGTATTCACTTGTGTGTACATGCATGCATATAGATGCACATCCACCTTGTCTATTTGTGGTTTTTTACTTTGCAGATGCACTGCACTTAATAGCTCTGGGTTGTTCTGTCGGCACAAGCATTTCTTTCTTCTTCTTCTTTTTAAAATAATTTTAAGAATTGATTTTGTTAAGAAGAAGTACAATCGTAACAAAAAGAAAGAACATCACAGCCTGGAAGGGGAAAAGTACAAAAGTGCAGTGCAACTCCGAAGGAACAGTAAAGTATTAACTCCTGCAAGGATTCCCTTTGCAAATAAAACAGATATGTAAAAATGAAAGTTTGCCAATGAAGGCTTTCCCCCCCCCCACCTGTGATTTGTGGTATTATTTAACATAAAGGTTCTATAAAGCCTTAGATGAGACAGTCATCTGCATATGTAATAGACCCACAACGTACGCACGTTTAACTTGTGTGCATTCAGCTTTATGTGCTTGACAAAAAAATTAAAAAGTGGCTGGAAAAAACTTTGACAATTTCACCTGCCGTTGTATCCAGTTTGTCTTGACTATATGCAATTTTTGCTTTATGCACTATTTTAGAATATGGTTCCTGTTGCAGGTAATGCCAATTCTCTGATTCAGTTAAATAAGCACAGTACAGTAATTGGAAGCAGACTCCTCTGACTGTAGCTTCTTTCTCCCAAATGCTCTCCTTTCCCATGATAATTTCCTTTCCCATTTAGCCATGGTGTGGTGTTATGTCAGCACCAAGGCCAATTCTAACCATGGTTTGTGAACCAGCTTCAGATCCTCTTTTCAAGCTAATCGTGGTTGGCATGAATCTCAGGGCAGATGTAACATTGCACATTGGTTAAATTGACAAGGAGTTCACATGCACAAAAAGGGGGAGTGAATGAGTAAGGCATTCCTGATCAATTAACCATGGTTATGACTGAGGAAAAACTGCCTCTAGTGGACATCCTGGTTAGCATTTAACTAGGGTTAAGTTCAGGTTTTAGCCTTGATTAGGACTCACAATGGGGATTTCTGTGGGGGAGAGATTAGGGGCAAAGGAAGCGCATGCTCTTGCAGCCCAATTCCTTAACCATGGTTTCAAGAGCGTTATGTCTGCTCCAGCCCCAAGTCCGAAAAAGAAGCAGGCTTGAAATAAAGGTAAAGGGACCCCTGACCATTAGGTCCAGTCGTGACCGACTCTGGGGTTGCGGCGCTCATCTCGCTTTATTGGCTGAGGGAGCCGGCGTACAGCTTCCAGGTCATGTGGCCAGCATGACTAAGCCGCTTCTGGCGAACCAGAGCAGCGCACGGAAACGCCGTTTACCTTCCCGCCAGAGCAGTACCTATTTATCTACTTGCACTTTTTGACGTGCTTTCGAACTGCTAGGTTTCCAGGAGCAGGGACCGAGCAACGGGAGCTCACCCCGTCGCTGGGATTCGAACTGCCGACCTCCTGATTGGCAAGTCCTAGTCTCTGTGGTTTAACCCACAACGCCACCCGCGTCCCTAGGCTTGGAATAGAAGCGAATAATTGTTGACAGACAGTGAAACTGGAAGAGAAGCGACGGCAGAACCTCCTTACAGGGAGAACATAGTGTGGATCTTTCACAGAATTGTGTTCTGTGTGGAATTCCAGCTGTGTTGACTCATCACCGAGGGCAGGAGGTCTGTCTCCGTCAAGTGAAAGGAGAAAACAAGCCGTACACTGTGTTTCTAAAGGTTTCAGCAAGGGGGCAGGGAAGGCATGTGCAGACCCGCTTCTATGGGAAAGGGGCACAAAATGCCTTTTCTGTGCTGTAAAAGGGCAGGAATCATCTCGTTGCTGAACACACAAGACTTGCAGCTGGGTTAAAATAATAAAAAAAGAGCCCTGTATTCCGAAGCAAAACATTAAAGGTCACTGGATGCAGGCAGCATGAAAAAGGTTCTTTTAACTGCTTCGATCTCTAGGAAAGACCCCTGTACCTTGAAGGCTGCTTCCTTAAGGGAAGCAAAATATAAATCCTTTAATTATGGCACTTGGACAAGCTTATGGTTTCCAACTGGCAGCCCGCTTGCTGAGTGTAATTTAATACTAGGGGTGGGCGAGCAAAGCAAGTATTGCTGAATTCATCAAGCCGTCGAGAGCCTAAGTTTACAGGCCCCAAGCGCAGCTCAAAGCTGTTCAGCTAAATGAAATGATGTTCTAGTTGAAGGATGATTTCTACCGGGCAGGAGAATCCATATGTACGTTGCACCTTCGACAAGTTTAGCAAGCCCTGGTTCAAACTGCTTGTGTGTGTTTCGGCCTGGGTGTGTTTTAGGGCAGGGGTTTGGGAGCCACATATTGTTGGATTCAAGCTCCCATCATCCCCAGCCAGCATGGCCAATGATCAGGAAGCCCTGCTCTAAGCTTCATGGGCACATCCATCCCCATGGACACCAGCTCTGACCTTCTTGGGTTGATCAGGAGTCTTACTGGATGAGGCTATGGGCCCAACCAGTCCAGCTCTCTGTTCTCAGACTGGCCAACCAAGCAAGACTTGAGGGCAACAGTACTGTTGCGGTTTCTGGTACCTGGTCTTCAGGCGCATATTGCCTCCAGCAATGCAGGAAAGGTCTGCAGTGACTTTTCTTGTGTTCACCTGGAACACAAGTAGGGTGGCTCAGGGTCCCCCCATCCCAGAGGGAGTTCACACAGTCAAGTGAAAATGTAAACGCCCCCTCCGAATGTTCCCTGATCAACACAGGTCAGGGGAAGCTCAGGGACTGAGCAGACAGGACGATGTACCATGTGATTTTTGGAGATGAGACTTTGATGCATTTGATGCAAAAGCTCTCCTAACAACCGAGTTATGCTTGAACGTAGGGTTTCCTCTGTAAGCAGCGACACCCTCAACTTCCTTCTGGAGTTCACTAACTGGAAGAGGCTACCCTGGGACGTGGAGCAGATCCTTTCTGACCACAAAGACACCTCCGCCTGGGTGACTCGCAGTCACTTCAGTAAGTGACTCTATGCAATCTGTTTTATTTCATGGCATAGATGACAAAACTGCTTTTGGGGCTGACGTGCATTACAAACACTTGGGCAAAATAATGTGCAGCCTGTAAAAGAAGTGGTACGGATCTTGATCCAGAGTAATTGCGTTTCACAAAAATCCGTGCTTCGCTGTAGAAGGCCTCATTGCCAGGCAGACCGCGAAACCTGCCATGCTGGGTGGAGGTTAGGATATGGCAGAGGCTTTACTCTGATGGCAGGGGCCTCTAAAGCAGAGGCCACCCACTGAAAGTGTGTGGGGGTGGTGGCAGTGGCGGCGGAAGCTGTATCCCACCAATGGTAGCTAGTTTATCCCCGCCCCACAAATGGCTGAGAGAGGTGGTGGAGCCAGACTAGCCAAGAATCTGTTTCATCCTAAGCTGGTCCAGTTTCTTGGGGTCCCTTGCAACTCTATCATAAGCCTGATCCAGGCTTCTGGGCCGGGCTAGCTTGGAGAGGTGAAAACCAGCAGTTTTATTGCCATTCTGCACTCTGGTCGGCACAAGGTCTATGGGTGTGCTAGGGGCTTCACTGCACCATTTAGCCTTGTTGCTCCCAGCTGGGAGTTAGAATTCAGGGATGGGGAACCTGTGGATCTCTAGATGTGCACTGAAGTATGATGGGAGTTGTAGTCCGGGCCATGATACCTGAAGGAGCGTCTCCACCTCCATCGTTCTGCCCGGACACTGAGGTCCAGTGCTGAGGACCTTCTGGCGGTTCCATCGCTGCGAAAAGCCAAGTTACAGGGAACCAGGCAGAGGGCCTTCTCGGTAGTGGCACCCGCCCTGTGGAATGCCCTCCCACCAGATGTCAAAGAGAAAAACAACTACCAGACTTTTAGAAGACAACTGAAGGTGGCCCTGTTTAGGGAAGCTTTTACTGTTCAATAGGTTATTGTATTTTAATATTCTGTTGGAAGCCGCCCAGAGTGGCTGGGGAAACCCAGCCAGATGGGTGGGGTATAAATAATAAATTATTATTATTATCATAGTCCAGCAACACGTGGAGAGCAGCTTGTTAATTCTCCCTGCCCTCAGTGTAGGATGTTGCTGTAAGTTTGAGGGCTAAGAAGGGCTGCAACCCAGAGAGCCATTGCCAGCCGGAGTAAATAATTTTGAGCTAGTTGACTGGTGGATAGACTCCTTCCTATGCAGTACAAGCTGGTTTCAGAGCAGAGGCGTCCATACAACGCGGCTCTTCCAATTAGCCTTCCAAAATCAGTGGGTATATATAAATGATCCTGTCGTTCTGCTTGATCCAGCTCTGGAGATAAAGGTCAGCCAATTACTCCTGGCAGTGGTGAAACTCAGGACCACCCGCCAGGGAGAAAGAAAAGCGCAGATACAGTATGGAATCGTCAGTTGCTAACTAGAGACTCGGGAGAGTGAAATACCATTTTTTAATAATAGAAAGGTTAGGCTAGACTCTGATCAGGAAATGTCTTTCTTTTTCTCTCCTGTGTACAAGGCCAGTAAACGTATCAGGGTGGTTCAGTCCGAATATTTGCTTAATTACCATCTCTTCGCAGTCTCCCTTCAGTTCACTTACTCGCTGGGCCCTCCCCCGCCCTCAATATTTTCATTATTTTTCTCTCTTCTCTGTTTAAAAGATCTGCAGTATTATTATTTTTTTAAAGAATAAGGCAGATGGTGCTATTTAATAGAAGGGAGCTGGTTTCAGTCTTATATTTTAAATTTTATAAACAAAACAAACAAACAAAAAACCCAAGATCATGCAGTTTGCACTGAATTTGCAAAGCAAGTCTGTGGGCTCAGGAACTCTTAATGCAGATTAGATATGTCTTGACTGCTAAGTAGATTCAGGGCAGAAGGAAGAAAGGCTTCCACTCTCTAAACAGTGCATGATGCATTTATGGAATCCGCCGCTGCATGGTGTGGTGATGGCTGCTCAATTAGATGGCTTTAAAAGGAGCTAAGACGAAGTCATGGAGGGGCAGCCTAACCTGTGGATGTTAACTATGATGGTTTTATGGAACAATTGCAGAAGGGAGCTTGAAGTCCTCTCAGTTGTTGTGCCTCATATAATTCTGTTTTATTTTTCTGCGACAGAGCACATCCCTCCCTTGTCTCATCTCTGCCGTCTGGCGATCCGGTCACTTTTGACGAGCGATCGCTTACGGTCAGACCAGTTTATCCGCCAGCTGCCATTACCCGCTTGCCTGCAGGACGCCTTACTTTACAAAGACGTTTTGAGAAGCTATGGCATTTCGGAATCTCAGCTTAGACTGGGCGATGTGTACCAACAGAATGCCCCGCCACCTCTTTCCAGTTCAGGAAACACGGAGAGACAAGAAAACACGAGAACTGAAGCAGGCTCCTCATAGTTCTTAAGGCTTCTGGGTGTCATAAGAACCATGTTGTGGTGCTCAATGCAATGATAGACCTCTGCACTGCTGCCCGTGTTAGGATATCCTTTCTTCAGAGATTCTTTAAACTCTTGCTCAGAGGCTTTCAGATAAGTGTCCAAGCGCCGTTCTCTCTCAAAGGAGTTCAACATTCAAATGGATGAAAACACTTGCAAAGGCATAAATATTGCCACGGATCATTCCAAATAAAGACACATTCCCTGTAAAGTTGGTTGCTTTATTTTGATTGTCATTAATTGTTTTTTATTTCTTACCTGGCTTTTTGCCAGAAGGTCTTAGGCTGTGTTACAACAATATACAATACAATACAATACAATACAATACAATACAATACAATACAATACAATACATACCTTTATTGGCGTTAAAGACATTTCAAATCCGTGGGATAAATTTAAAAGGGACAGGAGTGAGGCTGTCGAGGGTCACAAGGCACTTGGTTGTTCTGCTTCACACCTGTCTATTCCCTAGAGCAGGCATAGGCAAACATGGTCCTCCAGATGTTTTGGGACTACAACTCCCATCATCCCTAGCTAACAGGACCAGTGGTCAGGGATGATGGGAATTGTAGTCTCAAAACATCTGGAGGGCTGAGTTTGCCTATGCCTGCCCTAGAGGGGTGATTCATTAAGAACCCTTTCGGGTGAGATGGAGATTAAAAAGGAAGTCACGGAGGTAGTAACGTCCTTGCCCCTGTCCGCTAAGAGGAACCTCATTTGGCTTTTTCTCGGAGCCGTGGGTTGCAGGCCCAGCATCTTGCTCAGCATCTGTTTGCGGAGTCTGCTGTGCAAAGGGCAGTCCAAAAGAATATGGTCCAGTGAATCTGGCACTCCCTGTTTGCAGGCACATAGGCAGGGTTTATAAGGAATTTGCGAGTATCTACCTGTAGTCATGCGGAGGGGAAAGCATTTAGTCTTGCGAGCATAAAAGCTCTTCGTTTACAACAATATAGTCGCGCAGTTGTGAAAACAAGTAAAACAATCTATGCACTTAAAGCAAAAAATCCATTCTAACAAAGCAGCACCGATTCAACAAAAGAGATGGTTCTCGCAAAACAATCTTGGCTTTAACGATTATAATACATGTAGATACCACCAATTGCCAAAGTGGCTTCTAAACAGTTTACAGGTGTCAACCCAATTGTAAAATCCCTACGTATAATTAAAACACACTCAATAAAACAAGGTATCCCATTGTTGCTTTCCTGCAGCTGATATAAAAGGCATTGCTTCTTTATTCTTCATTCTACAGCCACTATCAATGCAGGATCTCTAGTTATAAATTGTCTCTGATATCAAGGCTCAGACAAAACCCTGACTAGCACAATGCAAAGCCACTGCTGGTTTAAGGAGGTAATACTGACCTGTACCAAGCAGGTAGGTAGGCCAGAGTAGAGGGGAAGAATCTCAGGCCCAGAGGCAATATGCGTCCCTCTAGACCAGGCATAGGCAAACTCGGCCCTCCAGATGTTTTGGGACTACAACTCCCATCATCCCTAGCCAACAGGACAAGTGGTCAGGGATGATGGGAGTTATAGTCCCAAAACATCTGGCAGGCCGAGTTTGCCTATGCCTGCTCTAGACCCCTGATGGCTTTCAGTATTCTCTCTGGGCCAGACACCCCACAAGACCTTCTTGTTGCCTGGCTGAAATGCTGGTTATGTTCAAATAACGGGGGTAGCCTTTTAGCCTCAAGGGCCACCTTTGATGAGTGGGCAGGACCACCCACCTATCAATCATCGGGTGTTACATTGGCCTCGTGGGGGCTCTGTGGAGGTAGGGAGATGAACGAACTTGAATTAATTTCTCTTTCGACATGGTGATAGTCTCTTGTCCTGCCTCACTGGAGTTCCTTGCTTATAGGCAGCTACCCTTAGGGCAACAGCCTCTGTGCATGACCTTTGACGCAGCCACCGGTCACTTCTTTTGCTCTCAAGCAGTGGCCTGGGAAGAAGCCTGCTGGCCACATTTTGAGGGCGGGGGGCTCTGCCCTTCTTCTTCGTGCCTCCTCCCAGGGAGGCTGGCAGAGAAAGGTTGTTTTCTGCTGCTCCAGAGAAGCGGACACGGAGTAATGGATCCAAACTACAAGAAAGAAGATTCCACCTAAACATTAGGAAGAACTTCCTGACAGTAAGAGCTGTTTGACAGTGGAATTTGCTGCCAAGGAGTGTGGTGGAGTCTCCTTCTTTGGAGGTCTTTAAGCAGAGGCTTGACAACCATATGTCAGGAGTGCTCTGATGGTGTTTCCTGCTTGGCAGGGGGTTGGACTCGATGGCCCTTGTGGTCTATTCCAACTCTATGATTCTATGAAGGCAAATGGGAAGGAAGAGGTGTGAATGGCTGCCTGCATCTCTGCGACCCCTTTCCCTCCCCAGCCACTTCCGCTGGCTCCAACCATTTCTTTTGAGGCATCTTCACTTGAGACTCGGGACGCGGGTGGCGCTGTGGGTTAAACCACAGAGCCTAGGACTTGTCAATCAGAAGGTTGGCGGTTCGAATCCCTGTGACGGGGTGAGCTCCCGTTGCTCGGTCCCTGCTCCTGCCAACCTAGCAGTTCAAAAGCACATAAAAGTGCAAGTAGATAAATAGGTATCGCTCTGGCGGGAAGGTAAATGGCGTTTCCGTGGGCTGCTCTGGTTCGCCAGAAGCGGCTTAGTCATGCTGGCCACATGACCCAGAAGCTGTACGCCGGCTCCCTCGGCCAATAAAGCAAGATGAGCGCCGCAACCCCAGAGTCGGCCATGACTGGACCTAATGGTCAGGGGTCCCTTTACCTTTACCTTTACCACTTGAGACTCAAGAGCGTTTCCCTTGACCTTCCCATTCTCCTCCTCTTGCAGTCTTCAGTTCCTTAGCACAGAAAGGTAGATTTGCATGGCAAATGGCTCCCAAATCCCTGAATTTACAGAATGGCTCCTCTTACGCTGCAATTCCACTCTGGGGAAAGACAGAAAAAATTGCAATGAGAGCAGTTTTCTGCTAACAGGAGTGAGCATCAATATTTCATACGCCATTCAGACTGAGAAGATGAGAAGATGGGAACCTAGATGGGAATAATTTCTTCCCTTTTTCTGTACTTGTGGTGCGACGGTATTAATTTATGGTGCTGCGGAAATTCTGACTTTCTCCTTTAGGATAGACTTGATTTATCACTCCTACAAAAGGGGGGGGGATGAAATAAAATGTAGCGTATTTTGGCTTTTTATAGGAATGGTGCTGATTGCATTTGACATCACCAAAACAGCCTAGTGCAGTGGTTAGAGCAACCTTGTAAATAACTCCCCAGAAGTCACTGGCCTACCAAAAAAACCACTCCCCACTGAAGTTTGGGAGAGGAGGGATGGATTTCTCCTGGTTGTTCTCTAGCAGCCAATTTAGTTTCGGTGCTGGGCATAGAAAGGGACGCAGTACCCTATTCCTCCTCTACCAGACCATTCACTCACATGCATTTCCTGGTCAACATTGCTTGCCAGGCTAGTGCTTAATTCAAGGGTGTATTGAAGAGTCTGATCCGGGCTACAGAGTAAAAGGTAAAGGGACCCCTGACCATTAGGTCCAGTCGTGACCGACTCTGGGGTTGCGGCGCTCATCTCGCTTTATTGGCCGAGGGAGCCAGCGTACAGCTTCCAGGTCATGTGGCCAGCATGACTAAGCCGCTTCTAGCAAACCAGAGCAGTGCACGGAAACACCATTTTCCTTCCTGCCGGAGCGGTACCTATTTATCTACTTGCGCTGGTGCGCTTTCGAACTGCTAGGTTGGCAGGAGCAGGGACCGAGCAATGGGAGCTCACTCCATCGCGGGGATTCGAACCGCCAACCTTCTGATCGGCAAGTCCATGCTCTGTGGTTTAACCCACAGCGCCACCCGTGTCCTGGGCTACAGAGAATCAGGTTCAAATCTGCCCTAAATCAGGAACCTCATTGTAGTGTGTTTGACCTTGGGCTAATATCGCTCAGCCTAGCCTGCACCTGCATGCATCACTGGTTGCCTGTTTCTCCCAGGCTAGTGCTTAAATGCAAGGGTGGATAAAGTGTCAGATTAGGACGACAGAGAATCAAGTTTGAATCCCCGCTTGACCCAGGACCTAACTGGGGTGCATGTGACCTTCAGCCACCATTCCTCAGCATTCACAGGGTTGGTGGGTGAGCAGCTTGGGGTCCTGTGCATCATTATTTTGGGGGAAGGAGTGCTTGCTGCTCCACCACAGGCTGCAAAATATATTGCAACAGTCCTCGGACTAAGGGGTTAAAATACAGGAGGGATGGACAACTGCAGGTGCAACTGGGCTACAAATCCCAGCAGCCTCAGCCAGGAGGCCCTGAGCCTTTTTAAGCACCTCATGATGCCCCCTCATGAGAGCAACTTTGCCTTCTTCCTAACAGCACAAGTCTTTTGCATGTTGAGAAATCATTTACTGGCACAGGGAAATGTTTGTTTTTATGGTTTATGGGGGAAACGGCGCTGGTTATTGACCAGCGATAAATCCACTTCAGAAACCAGAGTTCAGGACAGTTAAAACCAGTGTTCCCGCAGCTGAGGGATGTTCGACATTTGGCCAGGGAATAAACTTCACAGGCTGTTTATGTTGAGTCAATAAAAGTCTCCTCTGCACATCTCTGCATCCCCATATTAATACTTTTGCTCAAGTGGAAGGAATACATGCTGGCGTCTTTTCCTTCTACGAAGAAGAGAGGTTGGAATGAGCTGACACTCGGTAACATCCCCGAGAACTTGTTGTGGGAGGAGAGGACTGCAAATTAATGAGATAATTAGCCCTGAAAACCATTACTGTCGTTTTCCAAAGAGCCATTCATTGTTTGTCTCACGGTTTTTTGGGCTCTGTGTGTGGCTGCTTTGGAAGCAGAATCAAATGTGCAATGCGTTTAACATGTGAGAAAAATGCTTTGCTTACTGCTACTAACATTTATTATATATATATATATTTTAAAAAGGTTTTAATTCCACAATCCTACTCTCACCATCTGATTGTCACAAGAACCACCTGACTGGGTTGCTCCATCCACTTTGGGCTGCTTCCAACATATATAAAAATATAATAAAACATTATGTATTAAACCTCCTGGCAAATAGAAGGGGAAGAAATGGAGGCAGTGAGAGATTTTACTTTCTTGGGCTCCATGATCACTGCAGATGGTGACAGCAGCCACGAAATTAAAAGACGCCTGCTCCTTGGGAGAAAGGCGATG